AGCCACACGGGCACAAGTAAGCCCATATTTACCTTTCTTATTAGGTAATCTGACATTGGATAACTGAGAAGTTGATGGTTTGAACCCACCAGCAGCTCTGCAGAAGGCCTGGCAATTTGCTTTCATTGAGAATGTTCAATGTCTTTAGTCAGAAGAGAAATGAAATTGAAAACCACAATGAGACACTATTTCACTCTCACTACCCACTGCCGTGAGTCGGATCCAACTTGGGTTTCCAAGGCAGTATCACTACAAAAGTAGATTGCCCAACCTTCCTTCCAAGGAGTGGCTGGTGGGTTTGAAACTGACTAAGATAACTAAGATAATAAAAATAAAAGATGTTGGCAAGAATTTGAGGAAAGTAGAACCCTTGTCAACTGCTATTTGAAATGCAAAAGGGTATAGCCATTGTGAAAAATGAGTTTAGCAGTTCTCAAAAATCTAAAAATAGATCTACCATATGATCAGCAATTTTACTGCTAGGAATATACCAAAGGGACTTGAAATCAGTGACAAATAAACATGCACACTAATTAATGTTCATTGCAGCACTATTTTATTCACAACAGCCAAGTGATGGAAACAACCTAACTGCCCATCAATGAATTAATGGATAAATAAAATGGGGCATATACATGTACAAGGGAATACTACTCAGTAAGAAAAAGAAATAAAGTCCTGACACATGCTACAACATGGATGGAGCTTGAAGACATTATGCTCAGTGAAATAAGTCAATCAGAAAAGGGTAAATACTATATGACTTCACTTATATTAAAAGACAAGAAAAGGCAAATGTATAGATACCAAAGTTATTAGTGGTTACCAGGGACAGGAGAGAGTGGGAAAGGGAGCACTGAGTTTCTGTTTATGGTGATAAAAAATTTCTATTAATGGTAATGGTTGCACAGGCAAGTAACATAACAATTTCAAAAAACTGTATACCTATAAAAAGTTGAATGGGCAAATGTTGTACAGTTTTGTAACAATAAGAAAACAACATAAAAAGAGCAGCTAGTGGGGCTGCTTGTGAACAACCAAACAGCTCATGGGACTTGGTTTTGAGGTTTAGAGTCATGGTTTCATGGAACATTCCATTTAAGTGGCCTACTATTATTTTTAGTACTTCTACCTCCTAGTTTGCTGCATAGTATCTGGGGTCTTAAGTTTGCAAGCAGCCACGGAAGGTACAATTATTGTTTCCATTAACCTGGAGAAACATAGGAAGAAGGAGAGGCAGGAATAGGAGGAGGAAATGGAAAGTGTGGCTAACTGCCTCCATGAACAACTACCTCCTTTGTTGTGAACCAGAAGTGGATGGTACCCAGCTACCATTACTAAATGTTTTATAAAATATTCTATAGAAGAATCCTCATGGGGGTAGGATGTGAGGATGTAAAACATAATTTAAAATCTTAATGAAATCTAAATATTCTGGAGCCATTGAACCCCTGAAATTACTACTTGGAGATAATCTTTAAACCTTAAACCAAAAATAGCCCCTGAAGTCTTCTTTAAGCCAAACAACAGTTTAGCTTATTTAGTAAAGAATCCTGCCTTGAGCATCGTGCTTTTTCAGAGAATTAGCTATATGGGATCAAATTGACAACAGTGACTCAAAAGTTTAGATAGGAACTTTGGGGCAGTGAATTTGTCAATGTGGCAGGAACAGTTTGGAAAAGGAGAACAACCTTTGTCTGCTTTAGCTGAAAAGGATTGCAATATAATCAGTGTCATTGAACTACACATGCAGAAACTGTTGACGAGGTACAGGTATTGCTGTGTATATTTTCAACATTAAAAAAAGAAAGAAGGAAAGCAAAGAAATGATTATAACATTGAAAACCTTACAGGCAGTTCTATTCTCTCACGTAGGGTCACTATGAGTCAGAATCAATCAATGGCACCCAAGAACAACTCTCATTTCAGTACAGTTTCAAAAGAGAACAACTATAACCACATGTTTTCAAATGACCATTACTAACTCTCCACCTGTTCCTTTCTTACTCCTAGAATTTCTGGCACTTTGCAAGTAAGGTCTCCTGGACTTACACTCCATCTTTCTTACTGTTTCTCTATGTCTCTATAATCTGGCTTTGTGTGGTCCAATGTTTGTTTTCAAATGCCTCTCAAACCACTAACGTCATCCCCACCAGTGGCCTCTTTCCATTCTTCTGTTGGAGTTTAAAAATAAGACATCAAATTTTTTAGAACTTAACTGCCTCTCCATAAGAGATTTCACTGCTTATTTGTTAAAATTCTTGTCCACCTCTTCCATTAGTTCTGCTTCAGTTAAGAGCTGTCTATTCTTCTTCTTCCTCTTTCAAGTGCTGTATCTCCTTAAATGGGCTATAAGATCTTTCTGCCTACTCATGACTTCTTCACTTACTGAACACCTCATCAGGACAGGTTGTAGCAAAAAAAGCACACAGTGAGAGAAAGCTGTTCTCTTCAAGACCATGGAGTTAGTCTTCTCCCAGTCTCACATATGGGGGCAGACAGACCCACCAATACAAGCCTGTTCCAGATGTCCTGAGAAAAGGACTATCAAGCCCCAACCATAACCACATACAGAGACTGAACATCCCTGAGGAGGACTCTGCAGATTCTGGGTCCTGTGGAAGTCCCAAGGTCCAGCACTCACCTCAAGCTTTGAGGACAAGGGTGTCATCTCTGCCCTGGCTCCCTTGGCTCTCACATAGTCCATCTCCCGTATCTCTTCCACAATGCTAAAACCTCACTTTCCAGACCCCCTCGATATACTCACCCTACTCGTTGTGTTACTCCAGAGAGTGAACAGAGGAGAAGTCAGGGTCAGGGGTGTGCATTCAGGTCACCATCTTCCAACTACTGCTAAAGTTTCTAAATATTCATTAGGGGACACAGATATCTCAGAAATTTCCATGGAAGACCAAACATGTCATGCCCTGAGAGTCTGAGTGATTTAGTTCTTCCCAGTTAAAGTGTCTCTGGAATTGGGTCAGTGGTGGGTATTTTAGATAGAGTGATCAGAGCACCTCTGAGAAAAGGTGATACTTGAACAAAAACTGCACGGTCTGAGCACATCAGCAATGCAAACTCTGGGGAAGAGCATTTAGACATGGGGAACAGCAACTGGGAAAAGGCCTGAGTATAATAGGCTTAGTGTGTTCAAAAAGCAACAGGAAAAACCATGTGACAAATACAAAGTAACCAAAATGAATTTTAAAAGACAAGGGCTGAGAGGTCAAGCAGGGATTACATCAGGCAGAACACAGTAGAGCATGGTAAAGGGCAAGAGCATTATTCTAAAGTGATCGGAAGCTATTAGAGTCTGACTATGGAAGAAAGAAAAGCTGATTTACATTGTACATGAGGTTCTCTAGTTGCAATACAGAGACCAGACTGTGAGCATAAGAAATGATGTCAGAACATCTCTTGAGAAACTATTTAGTGAAAAATGAGACAGGCACAAGGAAACATTAGATGCAGTGAAGCCAGAAAAGTGAGACTATTAAAAATAAATAGGCAAGAATAACTTATTTCCAGCCATAATGGATTAAGGGGCACAGGATTCACCCTTTCATCTACAACAATGAAAAAATGGTCAAGATATCTGAAGCCAAGTTTTCAAAAACAATGAACCCAGAACGATAAAGGAAAGTTATTCCTGAGTGAGGGGAAGAAGCAAAGTTTGTTGACACTTCCATCTAACTTTCAATTTGAAATGATTAATATGCAATGTAATAACATGCTAAAAGGCAAATATCAAGATAAGAGTCTAATTGTTGTCATGGTGGTTATGTGTCATTGAGTCGGACCCGATTTATAGCAACCCCCCTTGGGTTTCAAAGGCACTATTACTATGGAAGTAGATTGCCCAACCTTCCTTCCGAGGAGCGGCTGGTGGGTTTGAACCACCAGGCTTCTGGTTAGCAGTCAAGTGCCTTAGGCACTACGCTACATTCTACACATGCCTTCCAAGAGACTAATATACTCAATTAAAATCATGAACTCATAGATAGAGGTATTTGTGTGAAAAGACATTCTTTGAGATGAAATATGTAAAATCTCATATACCAGCACTAAAAGATAAACATATACAATCAATTTGATAATGGGACACTAGCTTTGACCCCAATTAAACAAAATGTTATTTTCCCACAAAAAAAAAAATGAATTCTATTTTTATTAGTAGACCTATATTACAAAAATTTTACTCAATTTTTATTATATCTTCCATTTTTTCTGATTTATCTTTTCTTATGTAAGTACCTACATAATATTCTCAGATGTGCCTCTTGACCCACAAGGCTTGTTCACAGAAAAAAGTTTACAAACCCCTGATCTAGAACAATTCCACTACTTCTAGACAGCACTCAGTACTCTAGAACAAGTACAAAGCTAGATCTAGAAATAGATATTAAAGCATATTTTCAGGGCTCATAGGGGCTTCAATGAAGCATGGACAAGGCAGTGCAGAAGAGGTTAATCAGAAATTATCAAAAAGCCAAGGAAGCTTATGGTGTACCCAGCTCAGCTTCTACTTTTAAGACAGGGAGTTAAAACCCAGAGAAAGGGAGGGCTCTGCTCAGTGAAGACCAGACTATAGACTCCGTGACTTTTGCCCTGCAACTTCCTCTGCTCCTTTAACCCTTCTGGGCCTCCAGTTCCTCATTCTACAATTATTACACTAAAGAACAATATAGTCACAAACCACTCAAAGATACAAACCAGAACGAACTTTCACATCTTGCCTTGGACTACTCTAAGATCTAGGAGGCCCCAGACATTTCCCACCCCTGCTTCCGTCCCAGAGATCTTGCTTCAGTCCTGTGTTTTCAAACTGAGATTGTAAGAGGAATATGAAATTCCCAGAAAAAAAATCTTTAAAAAAACAAAAAGCTTTCTATATCAAGTACACGGAGAGCAAGAGACATCCTATAAAAAAGCATATAAAAATATTAATAAAATAGGCACCAAATTGAAGTTATTGATAAACTCATTGGAGAAAACCATACCTTGCTTGGCAGCTGAGTAGTAACATCTCACGATTATGAATCAAAATATATAAAAGAACCAGGAAGGCTTTTGCTCGAATGGAAGCTGAGGGGCTGTCAAATAATCGGATAATTGTGGAGACAAAATCCTGCAAAAGAGAATTTTTCAAAGTTTCTTGAGAACATATGATATAAATAGGGCAATCTTAACTTTCAGAATGAAGAAATTATAATAAACTAATACCACAAAATAATATCACCTGCCATTTTTGCATTCTTAATTGTACCAAGTACAAACGAAATTTTTATCATGTTTTATTTCACTTAACACTAAAAACTTGACAATACTATCTCTGATTTTAAAATAAGGTGGATAAACCTTTAAGAAGGTAGGCAATTTTCCAAAATCCACTCAGTTTAATTCTAGTCAACAAAGCCTGTCAATTAATACGTGAACCACCTAACTGCAAGAGTGGCAGCATCTAGAATGACTAGCAGTTATGACTGAGTATGTGAATGAATCATTGAGCAAACTTACATATTCAGAGATTACAGGCATACCTCAGAGATATTGCAGGGTCAATCCCAGACCACAGCATACAGCAAATATTGCCAATAAAGTGAGTCATACAATTTTTTTTTTGGCTTCCCAGTACACTATTCTGCAGCCTATAAAGTGTGCGATACCATTATTTAAAAGTATGAAATATTTTAAGAATTAACAAAATGTGACACAGAGATATGAAGTGAACACATACTACTGGAAAAATGGCATCAATAGATTAGCTCAATGGGGGTTGCCACAAACCTTCAATTTGTAGAAAACGCAGTATCTCTGAAGTGCAATAAAGCAGAGCACAATAAAATGAAGTATGCTTGTACATCCCCAGTCTATACATTTGAGGTCTGACAGACATAAAGGAAAAACAATACTGAACACAATACATGACATTTTAAATGTCACAAAAGGAAAAGCTGTAATCTTTATTAAAGATTCTTTAATTAAAGGTATTGTACACAACAAGAGGAATACTCACTCATAAGTAAAAATGTTATTTTCCCTCTTAACAGACTGTATTCAGGTGCCCATAGATATGTAAAAAGTAAGTACACACATACAAGGATATAAGTAGCCCGGAACATGGAATCATATTGTTAGCAAGATGGCTACAGAGAACAGAAATATAAGCTCCCAAAGTCCTTAACAGAGGCAAGCAGCTAGAGTAACACAGTGTCCAAAGCAGATTCAAGAAGCTCAGTTATTTCATCCCAACGTAGTCCTTTTAAAAAAGAATTTACACAGCTGTGTACACACTTCTATTTCATGAAATATTTATAAGCAGCAGGCTCTCCCAGTTCCTGAAGCAAATGATCAAAACCAAATTATCATCTAGGGTAAAGCAAACAGAATAAATGCTCAGGTGTCCTTGAGTAGAATGCCTGTTTCCACCTTTCCAGCATCTACACAGTACAAAACCCATTTCCTCATAGCCAACCTCTGAATTTTATACTCTGTGATCCAAGAACCACTATTACAAATATGTTTCCCCCACCAACTTACCCCAACAAGGACAATGAAATATTTGAACAGGAATTTCACCAAAGGAGATACATGGATGTCAAATAAGGGCAGGAAATGATGCTCAACATCACAGTCCTTATGGTAATGCAAACTGAAATCAAATTGAGATCTCAGTATATTCTTAAGAGAATAGCTAAAATGAAGAAGGATGATAATATGAAGCAACTAGAATTCTTCATGCATTGTTAGTAGGAATGAAAAATGCTAGTCAGTCTGGAAAACATTTTGGAAGCTTCAAAAAAAAGGTTAAACATGCACCTACTATATGCACTATTTATTCTAATGAAACAAAAATTATGCTCACAGAAAAACCTACACACTAAAGTTGAAAGCAACATTTTTCAAAATAGTCAAACTAGAAACAGCACAATGGTGCATAAATGCATAAATAACCGTGATACATTCACACAGTGAAATATTACTCAACAATGAAAAGAAATGGACTATTAATACATGTGATCACATGAATGAAGGTTAACTACATTATGTTAAGTGCAAGAAACTAGTCTCACATCCCATTTACTTGACGTTCTGAAAAAGGCAAAACTATGAAAGCAGAGAAGAGGTAGTGATTGCCACAGGTTGTGGTAGAGGGAAGGTTTGATTAAGAGAAGTAGCACAAGAGCATTCTTTGAGGTGTTGGAATTGTTCTGTATTTATCTTGTGGTGGTGACAAGACTTTATGAAGGTTCAAAGCTAAAGAGCCCTGGTAGGACAGTGGTTAAGCACTCAGCTGCTAACCCAAAGACAGGTAGATTCAACCCACCAGCCATTCCATGAGAGAAAGATGTGGCAATAGTCTCCTTGTGTAAAGATGTACAGTCTTGGAAACTTTGTGGAGCAGGTTCTACTCTGTCCTATAGGATTGCTATGAGTCGGCATTGATTTGATAGCAACAGGTATGGTTTTGAGTATTTTTTTAAACTTAATGGAACTGTACACCAAAAAAGTGACTTATATATGTTTTAAAAGTGACAAAAAGTTATTTAAAAAATATATTAAAACATATTTAAAAATCATAACTATATTTCAATATCATACATACACACACATATATCTATATGAGCTCTGGTGATTAAAATGAGGAAGGTATTTGGCTGCTAACGAAAAGGTCACCATTTCAACCCCACCAGCCAATCCATGGGAAAAAGATGAGGGAGTCTGTTTATTAATATACATACATACACACACATGCACATACATATCAATTAGGCAAGCACAATTAAAAAAAGAAAGCAGAGACTTGTGATTTCTGGTCCAGCATGTAAAAAGTTTGGCACACTTCACTCCCATTGTCACAAGAAAAATACAAAAAAAAAAAAACCCTGAACATCAAGGTTCTTCTTGGATCCATCAGAGAACTGAGTCACAGGGGAAACTAACACCTTAAAAACTGGAGGGATAGACAGGCTGATTCAAGAATCACCATATACTGTGTGTAGAAATAGTCACTGCAGGAACCAGAATCAGGTAGGAATACTTAAAGGGTAACTGACTAATTTCTGGAAACAGATTGAACTGTTGTTGTTAGGTGCCATCGAGTCATCTCTGACTCCTAGCAACCCTATGTACAGCAGAACTAAACACTGCCCAGTCCCATGCCAACTCCACAATCCTTGCTATACTTGAGCCCATCGCCACAGTCACTGTGTCAATACATCTCATTGAGGGTCATCCCCTCTTTCATCAACCCTCTACCTTATCAAGCATAACATCCTTCTCCAGGGAATGGTCCCTTCTGACAACATGACCAGGTGAGGCAAAGTCTGGCCATTCTGGCTTCTAAGGAGCATTCCAGCTGCACTTCCTCCAGGACAGATTTATTAGTTCTTTTATCAATTCATGGTACTTTCAGCATTCTTCGCCAGCACCACAACTCAAAAGCATCAATTCTTCTTTGGTATTCCTTATTCATTGTCCAGCTCTCACATGCATATGAGGTGACTGAAAATATCAAGGCTTGTGTCAGGCGCACCTTAATGCTCAGTGCTATACATGTCTGATGTTCTGACTGCTGCTTCCATTGGTGTCAACTGCAGAACCAAGCAATGTGAATGAAGTTTTTGACAACTTCAATCTTTTCTCCATCTATCATGGTGCTGCTTATAGGCCCAGTTGTGGGATTTTTGTTTTCTTTATATTGATGTGTAATCCATACTGCAGATTGTATTCTTCAGTCTTCATCAGTAAGTGCTTCAAGTCATCCTCACTCTCAACAAGCAAAGTAGTGTCATCAGTGTATCACAGGTTGTTAAATGATTCTTCCTCCACTCCTGATGCTATGTTCTGCTTCATATAGACCACTTCTCAGATTATTTGCTCAGCATATAGACTGAATAAGTATGGTGAAAGGATACAACCCTGACACATTCCCTTCTTGATTGTAAACCATGGAATGTCCCCTTGTTCTGTTCGAATGACAGACTCCTGGTGTATGGACAGGTTCCTCATGAGTTCTGGAATTCCCATTCTTCTCAATGTTATCCACAATTTATTATGATCCACACAATCAAATGCTTTTACATAGTCAATAAAACACAAGTAAACATATTTCTGGTATTCTTTGCTTTGAGCCAAGATCCATTTGACATCAGCAATGATATCCCTTGTTCCACATTCTCTTCTGAATCCAGCTTGCAACTTTGGAAGTTCTCTGTCAATATACTGTTGCAGATAACCACCCATTGAAGATCTGTACAGGCGCCAAGTTGACAAGGGGTGGAATTGTGATGGTTATGTTTGTATGTCAACTTGGTTAAGCCTGGTTAAGTGGTTGGGAAGCTGGATGGAGTATTCCCCATGATGAGACTGGCAATCAACTCCATGGTGGAATCTACTGGGAGCAGCTGAGTAGCTGCCTTTGGGTATGTGGTCTGCTTCCTGTCTTTAAGGAGATGCCTCAGGAATGGTCTCCAGTCTTTGGCACACTTGGACCCTGCATGTAGCCATGTCATTGCTCAGCAGCCTGTTATGCTCTGCCGACCTTGGGACTTACAGTGGACTTAAGTTAATGGCCTGCTGTGTGGATTGATAACATCGGGACTGTGCCTTTTTCCTTGTCAATCTTGGGGCTTCTCAGCCTCAGCAGCCAACAGATGTCTGAGTGAAGAAATGCCTCTAGCTCCAGTGGGCCGGGAGCAGGAGGCAGAGCTAGACACCAAGGTTGAGGGGCTTTCACCCAGCCCCTAGAACCTGGCACTTTGAACTTGGAATTAAAGCCTCCAACTTGTAAGAATAAACTCCTGTTTGTTAAGGCCATCCCATTTGTGCTATATTTCTTGTCAGAGCAGCACTAGATAACCAGAACAATATCCCTTGTTCCACGTCCTCTTTTGAATTCAGCTTGCACCTCTGGAAGTTCTCTATGAATATACTGCTGCAGCCGTTTTTCAATTATCTTCAGTAAGATTTTTACTTGTGTGTGATATTAATGATATTCTTTGATAATTTTCACATTCTGTGGGATCACCTTTCTTTGGAATGGGTACCAATACAGATCTCTTCCAGTCAGTTGACCAGGTAGTTATCTTCCAAAACTCTTGGCATAACCAAGTGAGTGCCTCCAGT